TGTTCTTTTCTGCAGTTGTTCTTATTTCTTTTTTAAGTTAGACATGCAAAGAGCTGAAGGTCAATGCCAACTGCAGTTTTGTACTTACAAAAACTTATCTACCCACTAGAAAAGTAGCCTGAGTGGGAAAGTGTTCCATCCGTTCTTTCCCCCGGGAGGTTAGGGGTTCGAATCCATGCTCTGAACAATTATGAGTAGGGAGACTTTTCATTTCGATTCCAGTTAGACTGCGGTAACAGGCTAAGCCTACGAGAAACAGTTATGACTCAAAGAACATTTCGCAATGCACAGGAACCCATATATAATCACACTCAAGGAGTGTTGGCTACAGTAATCACCCTTTTACCGCCTTTTTTCAATTGAAAAAACCTAAAAACTAATCAAGTTCTTTAACACATTCATTACATGGACATACTTTGGGTGCTAGGGTTCTATTGCTACAAATGAAAATTGCTTTCTAGTTTTCTGGGTTCAAAACCCATAATACAAAGGGGAATTTATGGCCTGCTATTGTGATTAAGACAAAAAAAAACAGCAACAAATAAAATACAACATGAGACAGTATAAAAGGTTTACTCACCTTCCTCTTTGTAAGGGTGTTGATAGGGATCAAATTCTTCGGTTGGCGATAATTTCTGCCCCGAAACATGATAATGGTTTTCACATTATGAATGTTTACAACTATACCACCACTTAATCTTGTGAGCATGGTAGCCATTTCCTTTATTTTTTCTTTGGGGAAGTTATCACAACAAACTTGAACAGTCTCATGAAACTTCCAGTGTAGATGCATATTTTGGACAACTCCTCCGAATACTCCACGAACACCAACAGGAACATAATTTTTATTCCTAAAACCAATCTTCTTATACGCTTGAAGCTGCTCAGGAGTCAACAGCTCAGGATCATGAACAGGGGTTGGTAGCTCTGGTAGCTCATATTTCTTGAGCTTTTGTAGCAGCAGTGCAACTTTCTTCTTAGCCTGCAATAGTCAAATAGTTTATAGTTCATGAGACCATTTTGTTACAGGCAGGAGAACAAGATATCATGCTTCAAGTTTTTTCAAGTTAGATTACCTTGACGTACTATCAAATACTAATGCCGATATTATCCATTTTTACAGCCATATCAAACCTGCCAGAATTTATCATTTCTATTGCATGTTTTCAGTTAGATAAAATTTTTCTGGAGTTCCCATCATGTAACATCTAAATTCAGTTTAAGCCTGAAGGCAGTGAGTTTCAATTCAAGTTTCAAATTATAAGAGGAATGTATACCATACTGTCTACACATATTACTATCCATTTCATGAAGGTGGGACAATATACCCTTTTGAGATTGTAAACGAGCCTCTCTTCATCAGTCATGAGCTTCTTTTTCAACTTTTTCGCTCTCCGAACCTCTCTGAGAGTTTTACCAGACTCTTTTCGCATTCGCCTCTCCACCCTGCTTCGCATACTCCTCCCTTTTGATGTTGACATTCCCCGTGACCATCCACTTAAGGGATGATCCAGTGAAGGGTATGAAGTGAATTTATCTTCATAAAGAATACTTGGTTGCATCACATTGCTTGAGACTAAACTTGGACAGACATGTTTTAGTAGCACTCCCTTCCTGCAACTGAATTCAAAAAAAGAAGAAGAAAAATCCATAAAATTGACTGAAAAATTAGAACCCTGGAAAGCTGGAATGCAGTATTTTCCAGTTACACATAGGATTCCTCATCGGAAAGCAAAACCCTTTAAGTAATCTAGCTCAATTTAACAAATTGAATATATGAGCTAACTAAAGAAGAAATCCCACAATTCATGTTTGTTTCCTAGCTGAACACATGGAAACTATCAAAAATTTAGCAAGATTTACAAATGGGACTAACAGAAACCTTGAACATCACCGACTAAACTTTCATGTCTGAAACGAATTGAAGCGAACAAGCAAAAACTGGAGAAACGAAACATGAGAAGTTGGAAAAAAGCAAAGCCATTAAAAACAGAATCAAGAAATTCTACATCAAAATGCGAAGCAAATAAATTGTGGAAGAGAAGGATACGTACTTGGAAGGATTTGATTGGAGAACAGGGGATAGGATCCTGAAGACACGCTTTTGAAGATTCCGGGCGGCAAACATTTCATAGGGTTAGAAAATCTCAGACTCTCTCCCCCTCTCTAACGGACCACTGTTAGCTTTCTTAGTTCAAGGATTCTGGTGAGCATCAAGAGGTTTTTCGAGGGTTTTAGTGCGGGAAAATTGGAAAAACTTATTGAATTTTTACTACTTAAAACTTATGAAAATACAAATTTAACCCTCTCCCTCTCTTCTTTCTCATCATCCAGACTCCTCTCCCGCTTCCCCTTTCTCTCTTTCCCCAACCTCCATTTATCCCTCCCACACTCTCTCTCTCTCACGCCTTCTTCAATCTCTCTCGGACCCCTTTGCAGCAGGTATCTTAGATAAAAAATTAAATCGTGTTCTGCTTCTATGCGACGAATAATGGAATACTGAGAGAGTATAGCAATGGCGATTTGCCAAGTACAGATAGCTCTGGAGAAGACTACGTCGACAAAGGACTTAGGGTTTTCCCCTTATTCGGGGTTTTTAGTTTTAGGTCCTCAGACCGATGAGTGATGACAGGGATATAACTTAGAACAACAAGATGAAGTTACGAATATGCCCTCAAAAGTTTGTCTTGTTACAATTATGCCTATCTGGTTTTCTGATTCTTGGAATGGAAACGATGTCGTTTGAAGTCGCCTCCCGAATGTTCAACCTTGAGAAGACCAACTGGGTTTTGCATCAATTACATTTGGGAAAGGAAGAGGAAGAGAAGGACGATGAACACGTGGTTTCGAAGATTTTCTACCAGCAGCAGAAGCAAAATGAAAAGACTGATGAAAGTATAATCCGTGAGGATGCTGATACTTATACTATTCGAACTAGTCCAAGGACCCCGAAACCTAATCCTCCTGATCCACCTAGGCCAGGCGATTTTATGGCATATGATGATGTCTTTGATGAGATCTTGCTCCATTCATCGGCACAGGTATATATATAGCTTTTGGCTATCTATCTATCATCCAGCTCCTGCTCTCTGTGCCTTCTTAAGAAAGAAATCATTCATAAAATGAAAATTATGTTAAAGTAATTTTATCTCATTGCTGAAATTTTCTTTTATGGATCAGAGATTAGAGGATGTTGAAGAAGTATTTAAAGTTTGCAATGAGGAATATGTGGGATATTCATCGTGGTTGGGAAGCGAATCTCAAGCTCTCGAGAGCTCCAATACCATAGACGATGTCAGGAGATTTTCGATTCTTCTTTATCTAATAATGGCCTGAATTATGCTTCATATACAGGCGCCCCAGACAATGCAAATGAGATGATAGGAAACCATAATGCATCCTTCGGGATCTCTGGATACTCCACCGGATTTTCTCCTTTCTGTAAGATTCATCTCGTATTCTTCTAATTTCTTCAATTTCAGTCTATAGGGTTCAATTCCTTCATTAAATTAAATACATCAGTTTTAGTATATAGATTCTGTTACAATTCCTATGTATGACTACTTACCCTAAATTTCATGAAGATTTTCATGAAAGTAGATTTCTTGCTGGCTCTACATACTACTGATATTCTAGTAGAAATTGAATAAACAAATTATTGGTTTAATAATTCTCATTCAATTCCTAATAACTTTTTAGTTCTAACTTTCTTATTAATCTTCAATTTTTACAATGAAAACAAAATTTATTGTGTTCTGGGGTTAATACTATCTACTCTGAATTCAGTTTCTATTTTTCACTTGGAATTGAATAAAAATTTAACGCGAATTGATCCAAACACGATCTTAATGCCCCTGCATTGGAAGAATATTTCATTCAAAATGTGATGATGATGAGAAGCATCTCTATCTACTCTGCAGGATTTGCAATTTGGTTCTCAGGACAGTATATTCAAATGGTTGGACAAGCTATGAAGATTGAATCAACCATGAATCCTTTCAAATAAGGACGATAAATTCCCAGTTTTGCACCATCCCACTTCGGCTGAACCTCTGTTACCAAGAATTTTCTTCAGCAACATCACAAAGTAAACTTATTGCTTCAAGGGACATGTAGGGAGTTTGTTAGCTCTCGATTTTTTATTAATTCAACAACGCTTGCAAGATAGCTCGAAGGCATAAAAGGATGTAGAGGCTTATCTGCGTGCAGGTGCTTACTGTCAGAAGATTCATGCTTGTAGTTAAAGCTGCAGCTTTTCGAGACAACGAAC